ATGGAAATTGTATGGAGGGCCGGCTGGGGCAGGGGATTGGGGTGCATGGAGGGGGGTGAGGCTCCGGCTGGGGTTGCAGACTCTGGGGTGGGGCTGGGGATGAGGGGTTTGGGGTGCAGGAGGGTGCTCCAGGCTGGGATCCCGGCCAATGGGAGCTGCAGAGCCGGGGCTTGTGGTGGGGGCAGCGTGCAGAGTCCCCTGGCTGCCCCTGCTTCCGGAGCCGTGCGGAGACCCCGCTCCCCGGCTGGAGCACCGGAGCAGGGAAAGCTCCTAACCCAGCTCCCCGGCGGGAACTTGAGGGCTGGATTAAAAGGTCTGACGGGCCGGATGCGGCCCGCGGGCCGTAGTTTGCCCACCCGTGGTCTAACCTGTTCTTAAAAACCTCCAGTGATGGGGATTCCACAGCCTCCCTAGGCCATTTATTCCAGGGCTTAACTGCCCTTACTGTTAGGAAGTTTTCCCTAATGCCTAGGGTGACCAGATGTCCTGATTTTATAGGGACTGTCCTGATTTTGGGATCTTTTTCTCACATAGGCACCTATTACCCCCCACCTCCTGTCCCGATTTTTGACACTTGCTGTCTGGTCAGCCTACTAATGCCTAAGCTAAATCTCCCTTGTTGTAATTTAAGCCCATCGCTTCTTGTTCTGTCCTCAGTGGATAAGCTGAACAATTTATCATGCTTCTCTTTATGTACCTTTCACATACTTGGAGACTGTTATGTACAAGGGGAAGTGCAGAGAAAATGAGAGTGAAGGAGGAAGAGAAAAGGAGAAGGAAAAAACCAGAAGTAACAGTGGATACATGAGAACAACAGATAGAGAGTGCTTTATGGAAAAACCTTTTGGCGATCAAGAGACACTGTATCTGCACCTAGATACCATGGTGATAAGAAATAGACGATCGATCTATCATTGATCATCTGTCCATTATCTTTTGATAGATAGGTTGATAGAAAGATACTGTCTGATATTATATCTATATACATATATCTACCTCCATATGCAAGGGAAATTGTGGAAAATAATATGTACTTGTAACTACATACATATTAATAAAATATCCACAATACAAACTCCAAACCATAAAACAACCTGAAACCCCCCATTTGGTTCAAGGGGAGTATGCTCTGACAGCTGCCTCTGTGGTTTAAATCTCAGTTTGCTTGCTAATATCACAAGAGCAATATGAATGTTAGCAGAAGCAATTCAGGATGATGACTTTTAGGCAAAACTGGTTTAAAATGTTTGTTGCGGTTGTCCAAATAAGACACAGCAGTGAGATGTATTTTAATGACAAATAGTCTGAATCCTTGGAGTGTGCATTAAAAACCGGTCTGGATTCCCTGCACCCCTACTGTAAGCAAGTCTGCTGCTGTTGTGTTAACTTTTCACTCACACCACCAAGCACTTACTCACATGAGTAATCCCATTACAATCCTCACGCGAGTGCTCACCAAGAGGGATAAAGACCATAATCAGGCCCCAAAATAAAGTCCTGCTCTGCAGACCCCTTGAGTAGGAGAGCTCTGCAAAATGTCCCTGACAATTGGAATTTCTGTGTCCTAACTGGGTGAAGATTGAAACTCAGCAAACGCTGGTCAGAGATTTTATGAAAAGAAAGATTTAAGGCACATTTTAAGAGGTTCACAGGCGATGCATGTTTATGGGCACTGGAGGGGAAAGCTGATGGCAGAAGGACACGAGGCAGCAAAAGATCTTGGATGGACGATGGGGATTAAAAGGACTAGTGATCCTTTAAATTTAATTTAAAAGAGATTAGCAGAAGCTTGTGGAGAATGGACTACCATGCTTGCAAACCTCCACTAATGGAGATGCCACAAGAGAAGAAGAACTGGGTGAAACCCAGTGGGCTTGGCTGCTGTAAGGCTTCTCAGTTGGATCAGACGACGACCCCAGTGAAACTCTGTGGTGGGCACTTAATCAGAACACATTGAAATGAATAGGTCAAATTCAGTTATTCTTCAGCTTCGGTGGCATTTTCAACTGGGTTTCTTTCATCCCTGAAGAGGGAGCCACGTGCCCTATCTGGGGACTGAGAAGTCTGATCCCATGTCCTTTACTGCACAGCAGAGGCAAAGCCAAAAATAGGCACGAGAAGGAATGGGACTTCCATGCTGCCATTGGATTACTCTTTTGTTTATACTGTTAAATTAGGGTCCCTCCACATTTCTCAGGGCAGCAGAGCTAGTCTCAGGAGGCAGAGCCAGTCACACTATAAGCTTCCCCACCCCCCCAGCCCCGCCCCTTGAGTCAAATGCACCATGAAATATTAGGTGACTGAATCCTGTCAGAGTTTTGTAACCTCAGCTGAAGCCTGACCGTGAGAGGTTGCTCAGCACTGGCATCTGCTGCTGAAGCGGACGGGAGGTGCAGGTACTCAGTACCAATCAAGATTAGGTCCTTATGTATTAATTATTGACTCTCTTTATATGGGAAACAATGCCACAAAATGAAGTAGGATGGTTTAAAACCCATTGTATGTGACTCTCCATTCAGTTACCGTCTTTGCATAAACAAGAGAGAGAGCGCATGTCTGTGTAGGAACTCTAATGTAACTAGTCAGCTGTCCGTTCCTTTGAGTATACAGGGAGACTGGCTATGAATTGGGATGGCAGATCAAAATGACCAGGAGCCTAACATTAGTCTTCCAAAGCTGAGGACTAGGCTAAGCGTTGTTGTTACCAGGAAGGTAAGGAAATCAGTTATGACGTTTCATCGATTTTGCAAGGTGCTGGGCACACTCACCTCACCCTGAACCTCTGGAGTAGGGGAAGTGTGTGTGTGAAGGAAGGGACACAGAGATTGCAAAAGAGAGACTATGTAAAGGCACTATTCAGCTGGAGTTTGTAACACCGAAGGCCAAACCATTTGTTTGCCAAATTTCTTCTCCTCACTTTCATGGAGCCAATTCGGTGTGGCACAGCCCAGGCCCAGACTTAGCAGCAGCAGCTGCAGGAAGGAAGTGGATTTAATAGATTGTTTTTAAACATGATGTACAGGCCACGACAAACAATATTAATACTTTAATCAAATTCAGCTTTGTTAACTGTAAAGGGATCTGCCATTCTTTTCCATGGGTTTCTACTTACATGCAACACTCCTAAGTACAGTGACAATAATAGCTAGAGATGGTCCCAAGCAGCATGACTCAGATTGGGATTTCAAAACCCTGATGTCGGACGTTTTCCCTGGTTCAGGTTCATCTCTGAATACTAACTATAGAAGGAAATATTTGCCTTTCTATCTATCCAGATATCTCTATATTCATGGGCTCCAGAAGTGCAGTATAACCCACATTAATGTGTTTATCCTCACAACACCCCTGTGAGGTCAAGCCGTGCTATTATCCCCATTTTACAGATGGGGTACTGAGGCACAGAGAGACTAAGGCCCAGATTCACAAAGGTATTAGGCTTCCAACTTCTACTGATTTTAATGGAAGTTAGGAGCCTAAATACTTTTGTGGATGTGGGCCTTAACGACTTTCCCAAGGTCACACAGGGCGTGTGTGGCAGATCCCAGATTCGAACCCAGCCCAGTCCAGCCCCTTACTCACAAAATGATCCTTTGTACCTAGAGGGGAAATCCAGCACCAGCTCCCATAGGCACAGAGCATGGCAGGCTGCAGAAAGTCAGGAGGGGCTGTGGGTGGGGAAGGTGCCAGAGGGACATCACTGTATTACCTGACCACTAACATCTAGCTATGCAAACTACTCGATACATTTTGTAAGTATATTAGTAAATAAAGATGTGCGCACAACCCATAGCATAAATCTCAGTCTTTTACTGCTGTAACTCTAGCTCTTCCCACAACACACCCACTACTCCTGGGGTTTACTGCTATCCCATACTGAGTCATGTTGAAATGAGCCTGTAAACCTCCTAGGGCAGTGGCCTGTCTGTTTTATGTGTCTGTATAGCACCATGCACTCTCTATGACCCTGTATAAATAATAATTATGGGCAAAGTTTTAAAATCCCTATGTAGCTTTTATTCAATATTGTATTTGGGCAAAACTCTCATAGAGTCGCTAGGAATTATGCCTCATTGAGGGCTGAGTAACACAGGCACCAAATCCGTGGGTGCTCTGGGGCTGGAGCACCCACAGGGAAAAAATGGTGGGTGCTGAGCACCCACTGGCAGCCCCCTATCAGCCTCTCCCGCCTGCTAGCGGCCCTGCCAATCAGCGCCTCTCCCTCCCTCCCTCCCTCCCTGTGCCTCCTGCGATCAGCTGTTTTGTGGCTGCAAGAGGTTCTGGGGGAGGCGAAATGGGGTGGGAAGAGAGTGGGGCAAGGTGGGGTGGGGATGGGGGAATGGGTGGAGTGGGGGGCAGGGCCTGGGGCAGAGCCGGGGATCGGATTGGAAAGTCAGCGCCTGTGCTGAGTAATGTGGCCTTGTAAGAGTCTCCATGGCCATTCGATACTTAGTCTCTCTGCTGAGACTGCCAACAAACATGACAATTAATGGTGCGGTTCCCGGTTACATCTAATCACAAACAGGGATTTCAGCTATATCCAACCAATACTAGAACCGAACCAGAGTTCAAAAGGTGAAAGCCTGTTCAGATGCCCCAAGCTGTTTAGTCTCCAGGATGATGTGCAATTAAATTCCTAGGATCCGAAAAGTGTTTTTCTTAAAACAGGTCCAACTTTTAAGTCCTAAGCCAAACTTTTCCTCACAGGATGTGGACAAAACTGAGTGCGTTACAGATTTTTATCTACTTCACCTCTGCCAGGCACAGCTTCTGTGACTGACTGACTAAGGGAGACACTTGTCCATCTTTCTGACAGAAGGGAATGTGCCACACTGCACTTGCTGGGTAAGGGAGAGATTGGGGAATAACAACATTTGTGAGAAGGAAGGCATGGAAAATCCCATGTGTTTGCTAGCCTAGGCAGTGTGGCCAGGATATCCTGTTCAAGAGGAGTGGAGCAAAGAGAGGAGACGTGATTGACTTCTTTCTTTCAACCAGTGCCAGCTTTCCATTGCCTACTGCAGACATAAATAAAGGAGGCATAGCTCCACTGCCTCGTGTAGTCATTTACACCTAATTAAAATCAGAGCAAACTGGGTTTTTGCTGCAACCCAATCAGAATGGCAGAATTTTAAACCTATTTTTCACAGGTGTATATGACTACACCAGCTGCAAGATACTGAAGAATTAGGTCCAAAATTTCCTCCAGTGACAAGATGAACTTTCATGACCTAGGGGCTGATCTGGACAGGTGCTGGGCCCTCACAACTTCAAAGAACTCAGTTAGAGTTGTGGTTGCTAAGTAACTGTCAGTATATTAGGGCTTGTTTGCACGCAGACTTGCATTGGTTTAATGTCATAACCAATGCAGTTAAACTGGTGCAAAAGGTTATGTGGACATACTTATTTTGGTTTGGACCAGGCATATTTCCCTTTACTAGGAAGGTTTAAATTAAACTGAAATAAGACCTTCTGGAACCAGAACCAGAGACTGTGCACATAGGGCTTTCCATTGGTTCAACTAAACCAGTGCACGTTTGTGTGTAGATCTGTCCTCCGGATCTACATTAGCACTATGCTGTTTTCTGTTTGGAACACTTTTATTCCACACGACCGAGCAAGATTATTTGGCTATTAGGAAGCACTATTTCACAGTGGTGAAGCACTGGAATGGGTTACCTAGGGAGATGGTGGAATCTCCATTCCTAGAGGTTTTTAAGGCCCAGCTTGACAAAGCCCTGGCTGGGATGATTTAGTTGGTGTTGGTCCTGCTTTGAGCAGGGGATTGGACTAGATGACCTCCTGAGGTCTCTTCCAACCCTAATCTTCTATGATTCTATGTCCTCTGTTGCAGTCCATATCTAATTTGCTAAACAGAATAGGTTATGGCCTTTGCCATTTTGAAACTTTAAGTCAATAATTGTCCCAGCACATCCATTGTGACATCCTGTAAATCCACATCTCTTATCTACTGCATATCTTCAAGCTACATTGTGAGATGATGTACATACGCTCTTCGCAGAGACGGCCCATCCAGCCTTCTGGACAGGAGCATGCGTTTGGTCGCTCACAGACTCCGCCGTTCTGACACGGGAATCGACAAATGGCTAGAAAATAATAACACAATCCAGTCAAGACATGGGTCAGTTAATATTCAGAAAGTGTTCTGCCCAGAGCTCTGCATCTTATCCAGTCCTTGTTATTAAGACAAATGAATTCAGCAAAACTCAAAGACAAGCTTTGCCTTGATTGCAGAGTATGTAGTGTGCTTGTGTGTGTGTATAATACTGCCCTCTAATGGATGACTTGCTCAAGTTATTAATGACTGCAATTATTTTAAATTATTATATTTATACTGAGGTGTTCAACCAACCAGCCTTGCAAAATTTTACTTGCTCAATTGTCTGGGTCAAATATGATTTTTGAAAGGTGAATAAAATATTTTTTTCTACTGTCATTATCATGGTAAGAATGGGCGAGTAATTTTTTTGCCGAAGCTGGTAGTTTTTTTTGACAATTTTGCAAGATGTCTCTCACCTGAATTTTCCTTCTTGTTTCATAAAACAAAAACCAAATACTGTAGTTCCCCATCCCCTCACTCCTGTAAAAAAAATTAAGTCCAAGACATGGGGAAAGATAAAATCAAGTTTCCTTTCCTCAGTCTTGGCATAAAAACAAGGCAAAGCTGTCAGGTATAATCTACCTTCTGTCATTAAAATAAAGAAAACAGAATAGCAGCATCAATGATTTATTGCATTAACACCACAAAAGACTGAAGAGTACTTTGTGATAATCTGTGGTAACACTGTACTATGTATCTGTTTATTTACAAACACCGCGGTTTGCAAAACTGTGGAACAAAGTAAATATAAGTCACTTAGACGGTAAGTTCTCCAGGGCAGAGACTGTTTTTATCATGTGTGTGAACAGTGCCTACCATAGTGGGGCCCCAATCTTAGATCAAGGCCTCTGGGTATTACTACAATACAAATAAAGAATCACAAGACATTTTAATTAGTGGCAATTATATACACACAATGAATTGTAAATGTCTCTCTTATTTAACAGTTATTAGGGCAGGTGAAATGTAGGTTTAGGGTTGAGAGAGCCCCAGATCTGGTTCATTAGTAGTCTAAATATGATGAACCATTAAAATACTTATAAGTTGCATGTTTGAACCAATCCAAAACTACCACTGAAATAGCCACGTTTAACTAGATTTTGCTGCAAGTTTTACAGTTTCAATGTGAAACCATAGCTTGGATTCACAGGTGCGGAAACTAGGGGTGCTGCTGCACCCCCTGGCTTGAAGTGGTTTCCATTTTATGCAGGGTTTACAGTTTGGTTCAATGGCTCTCAGCACCCCCACTACACAAATTGTTCCAGCCCCCCTGTTTGGATTCCCCAGAAACTGGGCCGAAGGTTGTAAAGCTTTTGAGTCAAAGCCTGAACTGCCTGTTGCGTTTCTGAAGAAACCTGAATCAGAGTTTTGCATAGTCTGGGATCTCGTAATAAAAAGTTTCACACAGCTGTAGTTCTAAGAAAGTGAACACCACCACAGTGATTCACCACTATGTGTATATTATTGTCAAATAATAGGCAACCTCGTTTTTCTGAATACTAGTTAAGTTATAGTACTATTACGAGGAAGCTTAAACAAAAGCCATTTAAAAGCTGGGGCAAAAATTTTTAAGGATTGTATCTTAAGTGTAAAGCTTCGAAATGGCTTGTGATCCAGACTTTGCCTGAGTGATGTCCCAGGTATATATCATATGAGTAGGTAAATAAAATCGGCTGACCTAAACAAGGCTGGCTTTATGCTACCAGGAGTCCCAAACTACCAGCAAGAGTTGGCTGTGAGATGTGTCCCCACTCTGCCACTGGAAAAGGAGATAAAGTTGGTCTGTGAAATACAGAGCTTGTTTGGTATGCATTGCCCCAGGTAAGCTCTGCAATTCAGGGCCACAAGTAGGTTTGCTTTTCTTGTTCCTGTGGCCAGCCCTGGTTGTGAAATTCTATATGAAGAATAAGACAGTATTATTCCTATGTGCACTTGTTATATATAGCTCCAGGGAATGAGAGACCGTGTGCCTATGGCCGTGGAGATCATTGAACAGTAGAGCAGGCAAGAGAAGAGAAAGGCAGTCTTGAGCTTCAGAGATGGGACTGGATGTTAGAAGACGTAACATCCTCTCCTCTCACACGGATGTAAATGAGGATTAACTCCATTGAAGTCAAAGGAGTTATACTGGTGTAAAGCTATGTAAATAAGAGGAGAACTGGGCTTCTGGCTTCTCTTCTCAGCTCTGCCACAGACTTTCCATGTGACCTTGAGCAAGCCACTTACCCTCTGTTTGCCTCAGATTTGACACCACGTAGTGTTTTTGTTAGCTGGCTGGGAACAAGCTGTTTGGCAGTAGCTCTGCACCCTGGGATGAGCCCAGTCCAAAAGTCTTGTGCAGAGGGGGCCAAATTCACTGCACAGCTTTTAAAAAAGAAATACAACGTTTCTCCATGCTACAACTCCGTATCCAGTCAGTGAAGCAGAATTAGTCAAATGATCTGTAACAATGCTATCTGGTGACTCCCAGTAATGTTATGATCTGTGAAACTGGGATAATGAATTGCAAAACCTGAGTTTTAGAAAGTGCACTGAAATCCTCTGATACAATAAGTATTACTTCTATTGCTAGGGCTACCATTTTGTCACAGAAATCACGGAATCTGTGACTACCCGAGACCTCTGTGACTTGAGCCCACCTGTGGTGGCTGAAAACTGCGGGGCCCCGAGCTACCAGCCACCACAGGCAGGGGAGGGAGTGCCCTGGGAGCTCAGAGCCGCTGCAGGCAGCCGTGGGCAGCAGGGTGTCCAGGAGCTCAGAGCTGCCACAGACAGTTGGGCGGGGCACCCGGGAGCTTGGAGCCGACACAGGCGGCTGGGGTGCCCGGGAGCTGCCGCGGGCGCCTGGGGTGTCCCACAACTCCAAGCCTGGCCCCCAGGGGTGCTGCGGGGACCCCCACAGCTCCCCATTTTGTCATGCACATTTTTAGCAAAAGTCATGGATAGGTCATGGGCTTCCGTGAATTTTTCTTTGTTGCCCGTGCCCTGTCCGTGAATTTTACTAAAAGTATGTGTGACAAAATCTTAGCCTTAACTATTGCTAATCAAAAGTGATATGTAAGTGCAAAATTTTATTAGGCTACAGAAAGTAAGAGATACTACAGTGACGAGCATGGTACAAGACCCAGAATAGAATGGAACAGACTACAATTATAGCTCTCAACTACCTTTTTGAAAGAAGTCCCTTGCTTTAGAGCCAAAGGAAGCTCTAAACCACACATTTTTGGTGTTCTCATTTTTTTTCTTGCACATTAGTTACATGGGAAATGCTGGAGAGAAAAACAAAAGATACAGATCACTGTTTTTTGCACAGGAAATTCAGCCTATGTCCTGTAAAACGACGTGCCGTGCCCTACGGTTCTTCTTACTGGCTCTTTGTCCTAAGTTTGGCTCTCATACTGGCTCTTTGTCCTAAGTTTGGTGGTGGGCAGATCGTAAGCTCCATGGATACTGTCGCTGGTTTCCCAACTGGGAGCTTGAACATGATCTCACTCGCATTAGCTTATGCTGGTGTAACTTGACTGAGTTCAATGGAGTTACTCCAGATCTACACCAATGTCACGGAGATCGGAATCAGGAGTGTGATCTTTAACTAGATACAGTTCAGACAAGCGCAGCTGTGCTCGCCCAATTACTACACAGTCTGTATTTTTTAATTATAATATTCACATTAATTACTTTGTTTAGTTGGGTTAGACATTTCTTGCAGGCTTGGGACATTAATAACTAACCACTGGTGTCAAAAGCTACGTGATTCATTATGCTGGTTGTTTTCATGTTGCTTCTGATGTAGATCACAAAGCCTTAGATACTGTGTAGGCCTTTTGTTAGGAAAATATTCAGCCTTGTTTATAAAGCAGTTCTAAAAGATCACTTTCACATATATCAGGGAAACATAGGCCTTTTCTCTCATGAATATCTTTGGTCCTTTTTATTCTTGTTTTAGGGGAAGGAGGCGGGAAATTATTAACATACTGCATTAATATCTAGAGTTGCCAGGTCTGGGATAGCGCTTTGTGCGTTAGTATATTAACCCCTTCATCTCCAAGGCCACCTCAAGCCACTGGTATTTGGAGAAGGGAGGGAAGGAAAGCTAAGAGGCTGGGGATTGCTAAACAGTGAGCAATAGAGATCCAAGTTCTTCTGGAGCAGGACTTCTAGGCTTTAATTTTTTAAAATGTCGGAATGTATATGGTTTACATTATATTAGAACCATTAACATTTATAAATATAAGGCAAAAAGAAAGCAGAATCATGGAACTAACAAACTGCGTGTCCGCCGGAATTGTTTAATAGCTGTTTTTGTTATATTACATCCCTTTCCTCATCCTTTGGCTTTCAATGAGACCGAGGCCGTGTCTACGCCACACAGCCATGGTGATGGAGCTGTGCCACTGTAGAACAGTAGGGTAGATGCTTTGTACATCCACAGAAGGGGTTTCTCCGTTGTTGTAGTTAGTTCACCTCGCCGAGAGGCTGTAGCTAGGTCAACAGAAGACCTAGCTGCATCTACAGCAGGGATTAGGTTGACCTAACTACATCGCACAGGGTGTGAAATTTTTCACATCCCCGAGTGATGACATAGCTAGATTGATTTAATTTTTCAGGGTAGACGAGGTCTCTGGCTCCTCAGGCCAATGCCACTTTTGAAAATGCACTGTAGACTTCTAAGGCGCTGAGGCCTTTTTGAAAATGTTACCCATAGTGCTTATGACTATGAATAGTCCCAGCAACTTCAGTGAGACTAATTATGGGTAGTAAGTGCCATGAGACTCATCAAAAGCCTATTCAAGCCAATGCAAAGTGCCCTGTTGACTCGCAAGGGCCTCTGGATCAGGCTGCACATTTGGTAGTAGAATGCAGAATCAGGCCCTCGGGCTGTAAGCTCTTTTGTGGTAAGGACCTGCCTTATCAGACATCTCTAAAGCCTTAACACACTTGAGGGCTGTGTTTCAATAGCAAATGTTAAAGAGGAATGAAGAGTAG